ATAGCCAATATTTTATAATAACTATAAATGGAGTATAACCTTTAAAATTTGTGAATCACTGTATTGTACACCTGTAACTTATATAATATTGTACAGCAGCTATACTTTAATAAAATTACTTAGTTAATTAAAATAAGGAAACAAACAAAAAACAGAACGAGGAAAACATTTTGCCTTTCCCGTTATTCCTAACCCAGAATTTAACTCTTTTTCGGGTGATTGATAGTGGAAATCTCCATTTCCTATAGAGTAGGGGTTTTTAACTAGACTGATTCCTCAGCCTCCTACCCCTAGGACATTGGCGATGTCTAGAGACATTTTTGGTTGTGATGATGTGGGGTGAGGGGAGGTGCTACTGACTTCTGGGGAGTAGAGGCCAAGGATACTGCTAAACCTTCTATAATGCCAATGTCTGGGACAGCCACCAACAACAAAGAGTTGGCCCAAAAGATCAATTGTGCCAAGGCTGAGAAACTCTAGAGCAAATCTTACTTCTTCCTGCAAAGGTAAGGTGTTGCCCTTTGGCTCCCAGAAGATAGGGTAAATTTATTCTTCCTGCATCATTCATTTGTAGGGCTTCAATACCAAAGTCTAGACTGTGTTTTGGAAATTCCATTTCAATACCATTTATTGTTCCTTCACCTGCATAAGATGAAGGTGAACTTTCACATCCTTTATGTCATCTTGAAGCATCTACTCCTCTCCTGTGTATAAATGTTGGTGCTAGAACACACATCTTTCAAGAACCACTAACAGTACAGTCTAAATCACAATTTAAGCTAAAATTCTCCTATGATGAAGATAGTATTTTATTACACTATTATTTTTTTAAATTAATTAATTTAATTTTATTTATTTTTGGCTGCATTGGGTCTTCATTGCTGCACGCAGGTGTTCTCTAGTTGTGGCGAGCAGGGGCTACTCTTCATTGTGGTGCGCGGGCTTCTCATTGCGGTGGCTTCTCTTGTTGAGGAGCACGGGCTGTAGGTGCGTGGGTTTCAGTAGTAGTGGCTCGCGGCTCTAGAGCACGGGCTCAGTAGTTGTGGCGCACAGGCTTGGTTGCTCTGCGGCATGTGGGATCTTCCTGGACCAGGGCTTGAACTCATGTCCCCTGCATTGGCAGGTGCATTTTTAACCACTGTGCCACCAGGGAAGACCCTTTGTTACATTATTATTCAAAACGCTTTAGCTCCTGGGGACTAAACTGCCTAGGATTTTGTCTTTTCCAAATAAAAGTCTTTAGTTAACTTAGAAAGTTCCAAGAGTTCTGATCTTTCCAGAAACAGAGAAATACTTGTACTAATGATGAATCCATTTCCCAACCTCCTACAACATAAAGAATCTCCTTAATTTTGAAATTAGTTTGCAGAAAGTTTTAGTTCTCTTTACCGACTCACTTGGATTTCCCCTTCCCCCACTTGTTTTAGCAAATAAAAACTTATCCAGGCATGTGGCTTAGGATGGGGCCAGCAGATGATCTATGGTGGACCCAAGGTTATGACCTTTTCACTGTTGAGGTACATCATCTGGAAAACTATGGTATAAATAAGATTCCTGTAATGATGATCTTCTACACCTTTATCACATTACACTGAAGGGAAATGATAAACAAGAAATCAAAGGCAGGACCACATTCTAGCCAATTGTACATATTGACTTGCTCCCCAGATCATCTATTTATAAGATTATCTTTGTAGGTTGATGTGCTGGGGTTTAATTATGAATTGCTAATGAATGAGCACCAATTTTTCTATATAAATAGGTCTTGGACAGGAGGCAACAGACGTTTTGACAGTATTCATTAAATAGATGTGTAACTGCTTATCAAATACATGAAATTAATTTAGAAACCTATCAGTTGAGTCTTCTTGATTCCAGTAAGGAAGAAATTATTATTGACTTTCTCCAATGCAAGAAAATTGGATTAGACAATCATGACCATTCCTTTCAGTTGTAAAATCTGTGATTTATTTTCCCTGTTAGTCAAAACTAATAACAGATATCCTCAGGAATTTTAAATGAGGTCAGATATGGAGCCTGGACAGTAGCCATTATTTGTGTGACACAGTTAATTTGAAAGGAAGAAAAGAACAGGGGTAGATGATCTGATGGGTGAGGGATTTAGAGGCATGTCTCTTTTTACTTACATAAATTTTACTAATCAATTTCTTTAAGATAGTTACGTAAGAAACTTTACTAATATTTAATTATTGACATTTATTGCTTAAACTATGTTTAGAGGCAAAGAACCTTAAGCATTTAATCAGAAGGACAGGTTCGATTCATGGCTGCTTCTTATTAGGTGTGTGACTTTTTCCAATTATATTAAGCACTTTGAGTTTCTGTTTCCTCATCTTTAAAATATATGTTGTCTCTGAGGTACCTTACTCTTCAATTATATTTATTCAATAAGTATTTATTGGGAGACTTTATATTCTTTTTTTTTCCCCCTTTGGCCGCACTGAACCTGACCAGGGATCAGACCCATGCCCCCTGCAGTGGAAGAGCGGAGGCCTAACCACTGGACCACCAGGGAATTCCCTATATTCTTTCTTTAAACCATTTAAAAAAATTGAAGTATAGTTAATTTACAAGGTTGTGTTAGTTTCAGGTGTATGGCAAAGTGATCCAGTTTTATACAAATATATATATATATATATATATATATATATATATATATATATATATATAAATTCTTTTACAGATTCTTTTCCATTATAGGTTATTACAAGATATTGAGTATAGTTCCCTGTGCCATACAGTAGGTCCTTGTTGTTTAACTATTTTATATATAGTAGTGTGTATATGTTAATCCCAAACTTCTAATTTATCTCTGGGAGCTTTTGTATTCCAAATACTATGGAAGATTCAAAGATCAATAAGAGCCCAAAGGAACCTTGTGTATATGCATATGAATGTTCCAGATTATCTTCCCTTTGTCCCTGTTGGGCACTTTCTTTCCGGTGCCTGGTTTTGCTCAGTGGTCACCAAATTGGGTACACAAAGCAGTCTGTTGAATGCAGGAAGAAAATACTAGAACTTCTATTCTGATTTGCTTTTTATCCTTTTCCTGGGGCAACTGTGTGATAGTTTCAAATTTACAGAAAAGTTACAAAAATGGTAAAAAGAACCCTCATACTTCCTTTACTGCATTCATTAATTATGAAGAATTTCCCCAGTTGTGCTTTATTCTCCCTCTCCCAAAGCTACATACTACTGGGGCTCTCTCTCTCTTTCTCTCTTAGAGAGATGGGGTGTCTATCCATCTATCTGTATCACATGCACATATACAATTATATATATGTGTGTGTGTGTATATATATATATATATATATATATATATATATCATGCTCCATTGCCCTAAATACTTCAGGGAGTATTTTCTAAGAACAAGGACATTCTCTCACTTGACATCAATACAATAATTAAAATTAAGAAATTTAGCATTGATTCAGTAGTATTATCTAATTCACAGGCCATATTTAAATTGCATCACTTTCCCAATAATGTCCTTCACAGCTTTTTTCTTTCCAATCCAGAATTGCACATTGCATTTCATTGCCATTTCTCTTTAGTTTTTCTAAATATGAAGCAGTTTTAACATTTTGAAGCATACAGGCTTCAAATGCTTTTGTAACATTTCCCTCAATTTGAGGTTGTCTGATGTGTGCATTTTTTGCCAGGAATACCACAGAAAAGATGTTGTGTCTTTTGTGATGCATGGGGCATCTATTGGTCTCATTACTAATGATGTCAAGTTTAATCACTTGGTTCAAGTGGTCTTCCAGGTCTCTGCACTTTTGCATACAGAGGAGAAAGAAATATGACATACCCTTATGTTGAGGCAAAGGAAAATTCAGTTAAGTCTAGTTTAGGATTAACTGACACATATAAGGGGAATGGACCTGTTTTGGGTTGTCATGTTTATTAAATCTAAATATAGACTGCAAATCTTTAGTTCCTTATTATGTGTATTTACATCAATGAATTATTTACAAATATTTATTGTTTTAGGCGTTATCACTACAAGTTCCCTCCAATAACCTTAGCTTGCTTCCTAAATTCAGGAGTCAGGACAGCACCAAACATAGAGATATTGCTTTGTTAGTTAGGGCGACAAGATATATATAAGGGCTAGGGAAAGACATGGAAAATAATATCTGCAGGAGGCAACTGGAATTTCTTCATAAAGATTTGTTACTTTGCCTAGTAAAGATTTGTTAAACTCAGAAATAGAAAACAAAAGAAGATAATAACTGAATTTGAAGGACAAAACTTAGGTAAGGGACAAACTATGATTCACCTACCTGTAAGACAATAGCATCTTAAATTATAAACAAATTTTTCTGCTTTTTTCCTACAAAATAGTCATAATTTTTTATAATTTGTTGTACTCTTTAAAAGATCACCCCTTTTGACTGTCAAAGGACTTATTGAGCTTTTGCTGGTATATGTTTATTTTATTTTATTTCTATTTATTTATTTATTTTTAATTGGAGTATATTTGCTTTACAATGCTTTGTTAATTTCCACTGTACAGCAAAGTGAATCAGCTTTATGTGTATTTATATCCCCTCTTTTTTAGATTTCCTTCCCATTTAGGTCACCACAGAGCATTGAGTAGAGTTCCCTGTGCTGTACAGTAGGTTCTCATTAGTTATCTATTTTCTACATAGTATCAATAGTGGATATATGTCAATCCCCATCTCCCTATTCATCTGATTCCCCACTTCCCCCTTGGTATCCATACATTTGTTCTCTGTATCTGTGCTGGTATATGTTTAATATTTTGGATATATCTAGACAAGGTGCTGGAATAAAATAAAGGCATCTAACATTTGTGAAGTTGGAAAAATAAAAGTAAGGAGGCAAGCAGAGATGGGTAAAATTTGGAAGAGTAGAATGACATATTCGACTTCCGTTATGCTGTTGCTGTATAATTCAATCTGTTTGCATTATGTTTTATGCTTCTTCCTCACCTGCCCCCCTGAATCTTCAGAAAGGAGCTCATTGCCAAGCTGGATCAGGCAGAAAAGGAGAAGCTGGATGCCGCTCAGCTGGCTCGGGAATTTGAGGCACTGACGGAGGAGAATCGGACATTGAAGCTGGCCCAGTCCCAATGTATAGAACAACTGGAGAAACTTAGAATACAGTATCAGAAGAGACAGGGCTCGTCCTAACTTGAAATTATTCAATGTGAGCATAAGAGGTTGGTGGCTGCTATGCACTGGCCAAAAGATTTTTATTTTAAAGGGATAGTGAGTAAAATCTATTGCTTCTCCTTATTACCCACATGGCCAACGTCTATACTAACAAGTTTAATGCTTGCCTGATATAGTTTGAGAGAAGGGTTATTTTATTTTAAAGAAGGTAATTGAAACAAACCTATTACCAGATGTTTTCAGAGATCATAATTCGTTTCCAAAGATATTTTTTTTTCTTATTTAGCAAGATACGATCATACTGTAGATCTGGGTAGAAAATGATAGAAATAGAACATTGACTGATTCTACTAAGAATCATGAACAGAATTCAGCCATGAAACAAACTAGTAAGATGCTCACTGCAGTTTCTTATCTGTGTATTTTAAAATTTCACATCTTCAATATTTCTACGGTGCTCTAATCTGAACTGTCAGAAACTTCTCCAAATATATTTATGTTCACCAGAGTTAGGTTTAATCCCTCAATGATTGATTGTACTAAGAATAAATGGTTGCACATCATAAAAGCTTTCTCATGAAAATATTAGCGGAAAGCATGTTTGTGCCAGAAGCACATTTGCCAGTGCTAACTTGCTGTTGTAATAAAAAGCTGATAAGGCTGTATTTTCTCCATGCTACGTTACCTCGTGGTAAACATCTCTGCCTTTGCTTGTGTGTGTTCTGGGAGAAATGGAAAAGTATTGTTTGGACATTACCTTGGTGAGTTCCCATGAAAACAGCCCAGTAATTTGAACAGTAAAATTCTAACTATTACTCTGTTTTGGATTTAAGGAGATGTTTTGGATCAATGATTAATAAGAATATATGAGTAAATTTAAGATTAAAATGATTTTTTCCCTTGTTCTATCTATCACCATAGTTTTCCAAATTGATCTCTTTGTTTTATGTCCATTTCTATTCCTGTAACTTCTTTTTCATTAAACATAGATCAAAACCCTCAGTCTGTATTTTGTCTCTTTCTTAACCTCAATTTATGCTAAAAGTTGGGATGGGTTAACCCTAGTCAGAATTTGTTCTTAGTTGTATTTGGAAGTGCCAAAAAAGCGGTGAAGTCCCTTTTCTTGTAAGACTGTGGTTTCTCATATAAATAACTCAGAGCTCTATACTGAATATGGTCATTAGTGTCTTAAAGTATTTGCCCAGAAAACATAAAAGAGAATAGCTGATTAAAGCAATAAGATGGCCTGGGATAGACTGGTTGTTATCAACTGGGGGTGATTTTACCCTCAAGGGACATTTGGCAAAGTCTAGAGATATTTTTGTTGTCACGACAAGGATGAGGGGGTGGGTGCTACTGGCATCTGGAGAGTAGAGGCTGGGGATGCTGCTAGACATCCTGCAATACGCAGGACAGCATCACAACAGAGAAGAATTGTTTGGCCCAATATGCCAATGGCACAGAGGTTGATGCACCTTGGGTTAGACTAATCACTGGGCAGCTGGGCAAATGCCAAGCGGAAACATGATGCAGGGCCATGGGTTTCTTGTCATGTGGTGTGTGTCCATAAGGTCCTTAGCATCCTTAACCTCAGTCTCCTCATTTGTAAAATGAAGCTTTTCAATAGCTCTCAACGTTTGAATGTTATGTGAGCCTATTCACCTTTCAGCTGCTTTAACATTTAACTAAAGGTGAAAGTCCCTATTATCCTGGTAGCGCCTTCTTTTTAAAAGAACCCCAAGGCTTATATATACTAATATAAAGAAGGACTTGTTGACTAAATTTATATAAATCTAAGGCCAATGGAATGGAAGGATGAAGGGTAAGTTACCTAGCTTTAAATACAACGATTAGTTGTTGATCACTGCCCATCTGAAGAGGGTTACATGTATTTACAGAATTCAAGCAGTCATGGCACCTTATAGAAAATGGGAGGGGAGGGCATGGAAATATAGTTGCAAAATCTCTCTGCTCTACTAGAATGAAAATAATTTTACAAGGTCAAAATATTTGAACACTCTGTTATTATGTCAAGGAGACACTGAGTAAATAGTTTTCATATCTGTTCTAGTTTCAGCCTGGAATTTTACTGTTTCCAAAAGATATCTATTCATAACTCAAAAGTAAGCATTTCTATAGGTGTGTGTGTGTTTTAATATTTTTTAATTGAAGTATAGCTGATTTACAGTATTATATTAGTTTCAGGTATACAGCATAGTGATTCAACATAGGAGGGTGAGTTTTAAGCAGACTTTTATTCATTAAAAATATAAAAACATCTACTTTTGTAGCATTTTCAGAGAAACCTAAAGGCAAAATTTCTTATATTGTCAGTTTCATCTTTTCATTCATTTGACAAATTTCCTCCAATCTTATTTACCGCTGCCTATCGTCTGTATAACACATAATCATTTAAGAATTTTATATCTTCAAATATATTTACAATGTTCTTGCTATTAGCAATAATGAAAAATTTATAGAGCATTAAAAATGAGCACAGAGGTTCTATTAGTATTAAGATGAAGTGCTTGCTTTAGAGAATTTAAGAAAATGTAACCCACATTATACTGTGTAACTGCTCTATTAAAGAATTTGCTATTTGTGGGCCATTTAGTTTACATAGACATAAAAGAATGTGGTTACAGGTGACTAAAAGCCCACTCTCTTCTCATTGATGTTGGTATCTTGATGTCATTCTGGTACCTGGGCTTGGATGTATCATTAACTCAGTACAAACAAGGAATTAAAGGGATCTGGAATTCAAATTCAATTCAACAGAAGTTTACTATTTACTTACCAAGTGCAAGGCAGAATAACAGCAAAAATGAATGACACAATCCCAGTGTTCCACACTTTGGGAGGCAGTAGATAGTCTTCTCAGAGGGTATATGTAGGGGAATAGTGACAAATTAAGTTGAGAAGTTCCACTGGGCCCTGGTTGTGGGAGAGTTTGGACAAAATAAACATTTTGAAAAGAGGAGTGAATGGTCAGGGCTGGTCTTGAAGACAATGAATAGGGTTGTGGTGTACAGGATGGATGGATACCAGAAATTGTCAGGCTAATAGGAAGGACTGTGCAACAAGGGAGAGTGGCAGCAACTGGATTGGAGGAACAGACTAGTAGGGTTGGGAGAGACAAAATGAGAAGGAGAATCCACGTGCCTTGGGATGGATGGCAGGTGTCATTGAAGCAAAAAGATGAATAAAAGTAATGTTTAATGAGCCCTTTCTGTACCAGAAAAATCCAGGTTCATCATATAGGCTGTATTATTTAATTCTCAGAACAGCCTGAGAGGTAGCTATAATTATCCCCATTCCCCAAAGCCAGAAACTAAGGTTACATAATTTGTACAGTGTTTTGCAGGGCTGGGATTCAAATGCAAATTGACTTTTTACCTTCCCTCCCTGCCTCCCTTCCTTCCCTCACTCTGCCTTTCCTTCCGTCTTTCCTTCCTTCCTCCCTCCCTCCCTTCTTTCTCTTTCTTTCTTTCTTTCTTTCTTTTTCTTTCCTTTCTTTCTTTCTTTCTTGCTTTCTTTCCTTCCTTCCTTCTTTCCTTCTTTCCTTCTTTCTTTCTCTGAATGCTTGTACTTTGCCAGGCATTCTGGAAGATGTCAGAGACACAACAGTGCACAACAGGAATGTGGGTCTAGTAGTCAAGGAATCCTTAGTCTAGTAGGGAAGGTAAACATTTACTTAACTACCTACCTGGGGTAGTTTTAAATATATCCAAAAATCCCCTCAAAAGGTAGAGCTTATTTCTCTTCCCCTTTAGTGTGGGGTGGACTTAACTTGTTTGTGACAAACAGAATAAAGCAGAAGTGGCAGTATGTGGCTTCTACGCCCAGGTCACAAAGACACAGAGCTTCCTTCTCCTCCGTTCTCTCTTGGATCACTTGCTCTGGATGAGCTGGCTGCCGTGTTCTGAAGAGGCTCCAGCAGGCCTACGGAGAAGCCCATGTGGTAAGGACCTGAGGCCACATGAGTGAACTGTGAAGCAAGTCCTCCAATCCCAGGTGAAGCTGCAAATGGCTGCAGCCTCGTGAGAGACTCTGAACCAAATCCACCCACCAAGCTGCTCCTGTTTCTGAGTCTCAGGAACTCTGAGATAATAAATGCTGTTTTAAGCCACTAAATTTTGGGGTGATTTGTTATGCGGCAATAGATAAAAAAATACAACAAATAAATGAGGTAAGTGCCAAACAGAAAAGAAATATAGTCTATGAGTTCATATACAAAAGAGAATCTAACTGAGATTTAGAGTCTGGGATGACTTTCTCAAGGTGGTGACTACTGAGCTGAGATCTGATGGATGAGTAAGAGCTAAAGAGGCAAAGAAGGCAGGAGGAGGAAGGTGTCTAGACAGAGTGAAACATGTGCAAAGGCCCTGGGGCATGTTCAAAGACTTGGAGGGAAGCCCATGTGGCTGAGCATGAAGAGGTATGTAGAGTGTGGTACAAGATGAGGTTGCAGGATAAGGCAGGACCTTGAAGATCACATTAAGAATTTTGGCCTTAATCCTAGAAACAACAGGAAGCCACTGAAGACTTTCAAGGACAGGGACAACATGTTAACACATTATCTTCTAGGGTAACATGTTTCAAGGGTTTTCTTTGTTAAGTTACTTCATTTTAAGTTGCTTAGACTGCTATACTGTATGGCGTTATTTATACTATACAGATTAAGCTAGCTATACAGTTGGTAGGGTTATTTGTATAGGGTATTATATACATTTTACTTGAGAAGTCATTTTAGTGACTATTTTTCTCCTTAGAGAGAAGGTAAACCCTTAATTGTATCATGTGGCCTGGCTTAGAATAGAAGACAGAATTTACCTCCGCTGTCATCATTAACATATTTAATTGAGTGACACTAATAATCCTGCCTCTTAATGAAGATTTCTATGATCTGTTTTTTAATGTTTATTTCATGTTTCAAAGTTGCCAAACTCACAGCTCGTAAGAGAATATTCTTAAGCAGTTAGAACTTTTGAGACAATCTTTTCCACCTGTCCATGTTATTTTTAAAGAATGGTAATAATCAAAGATGGACGTGCAGATCACGTCACACATGTGAAATGTTCACAAGGCAGAGATGAAATCACCCACAAAGCTGATAGCCTTAAACTTTAGCTTCTTTGAACACCCTTCCAGTTCTAACCTTCTATGTTTTAATTAACGGGGAATATATTATTTCCCATGGTTAGAAACAAATGCTCCCCAAAAGAAAAGTGTCTTATATACTCAGGGGGGTTTTAAGTTCTAGTGTTAAAATCATATCGATTTCAATTTGCTCCCTGGAACTTTGAAAATGTTCCTAATCAGTCCTCCTATTTTCACATTTCTCAGACAGCTCTGGGGAAGGGAGATAAAAGAAGAAGCTTTTATGAGAGTAGATTATTGAGGCTACAGTAAGTAACGGCCATGAGGTGATGGTCTGAGTCACACAAGCTGGAAAATAAAGTTTTCCCCAAGGAGTTTCTCTTTTAAAAACTTTTTGTTCTTTTGGACTAAGAAGTTTAAGACAAGAAATTCTGAGCAGAAGGACTGAGCTAGTGTGAAAAAAAGGAGGAATCAAGTTTTTTAACAGCCAAACAAGGAAGAATATGTGTCTGCCATCTGCTACACTAACATATTGTATCTGTCACTGGACGTGTCTGGGCAGTGGCAGTTCTCTCAGGTCTGAGTCTTGAAAAGGGAAAGATAAAGAAATAGTAGGACAAGGTAAAATTATGTATTAAACAGCTTTCCTCCCGCCACCCTGAGCTTTTTAATTCCTGTTCACTTCTCAAAAATGGAGTAAATGCTGAAGTGCTGACTTTCCCCCATCATTCCTGTAAATAAGGATATGACTCACAAGCCCTGTAATCTCCAGAATGCTATAGAGACTATGGTGATTTGATTATTTAAAAATAGCTGGGAAAAAAAGTAAGAAATCGATTATGGGTAAGTTGGGGTGTTTTCTTTTTTTAAGATTAAAAAAAATATTAACTTGTT